TTCGATTGGACATTGCTGCTCTAGACAGGATGCTAGACACTACAGACTCACGGATATAAACAAAGCCTGAGCCAAATACACATGTGGTTCAGAAGGTAGGGGAGAGACTCAGGAAAAAGAATGAGTAAGCTAGGGAATAAAAAAAAAAGGGCCACCTTGATCATCCTTAAATCATTCCAGGTTCTTATCCTTCTCTGTAGTCAGTGCCTCTGTGACATTGGCCATAATTTGTTGGTTTACACAACTGATAAAGAGGAAATCCTGAGGAACTAACCTGCCATTCTCAGGAAGATGGATTCCTAGTGCACATTAATCCTACTATAACTCATGAACAGTGAAAGAAGGGTGACCATATTACATACTCGTCCATCCTCAGGAATGGAGGAAAAATTACAGGCTCATTCTATATTACTCATAAGAAAATTTCAGCCTCAGAATTGACAGCCCTGACCTGGCACATGAAGTGATAAAAAGAGGAGAAAGTTTTTAGTTGTCAAAGTACTTAGTATTGTTAAGTTTCTAAGTGAGCATGTAAAGTTGTTTACATTATTATAAATGTTATTGTGAACCCCATTATCATTCACAGAAGATTTGCTTTGTGTCCAATACTATGCCATATGCTTTACAAACTTGTCTCATTGAATTTTAAAATAATCCTACCATTTCCATTTCATAGTAGATAAAACTAAGGCTCAGAGATAGCAAGTTAACTTGACCAAGATAGTAATAGTAAGAGAAGGAAGCAGGATTTGAACTTAAGGCAATATGGATCCCAAATCTGTGTTCTTAACTCTCTAGTATGCTACTTTTTACATAGTATATCCCTCCTCATTCACAACCACATCATTATCAATAATAACAACATCAACAACAGTACTATTGGAACCAAAAACTTTCCTGAAGATAGAGAGTGCTGGCTAACATTCATTTGCCTAAATTATGTTTTTCTACCTTATACCTTGGGATTTACCAGTTGGCCTATAACAACAGATACTCGAAGAAACAGTTCAATGGCACTGGGAGCTGCATTATCACAAGGGTTCTACTTGGGATAGGCATGGTAATGTCAGTCTTGAGTTCTCTTGGAAGAAACCTCTCCCTGCAGTGGAAGCTGTAGTACCCACCTTGGAAATTTGCCACTGCTAGTGAAATCAGAAGATATTAGAACAGGTATGTTTTGTTCTCAGCTCATGCCTCGCTAAATCCTAACTTTCATAATTCCCTTTTTCTTCTGCCTTGATTATCTCACAAACTTATTTAATTCTTTTTTTTAGAGAGATTTTGCTGTAGGGCGCATGCTCTTGCCAGAGAGATAAAGAAAGACAGAAATCAAGAAATCACTCCCCTCTGCAAGGGGGATGGCCACACCACAGTCCCTTATTCTTCATTCTCACATTGGAATTTTGGACATACACACACATACACGTATCCACTGTGAGTTTCCAGCCGTCAGGTCTGGTCCTTGAACAGCAGTTGGCCATGCGGGAATCCAGCGACATAATGATTATGTCATCTGCTGGTCCCATGAATTTATTCGTTTTAATATATAAACATTGTACATAATACTAAGCAAATAATAAATACAGTCATTCATTTCTGCTTTATAAACTTTTACAAATAGAGCTTTTTCCTAAAAGAACTGTGAGCCCAGCATGTTAGACCTAATTAGGGGAGAGGTAATTGCACCAGTTTCACCTCAGCATCGTGGTTATCTTCACCTGTGACAAATTTGAACTTTAAGTGCAGTTTATGCGATGGCCAAATGCCAAGTACTCTTGGGCAAAATGCCATGGCTGACCTGATTCAGTCTGGACTATAAGGTCCACAAGTTTTCTGCAATATTTGCAAGAGCTTACGTTGTAGGGATCTGCCCTGACAGACAGAATTTGAAATTTAACCTTTTTTTCCCCCATCATAATGTGTACGTATATGTGTAATCCTTCACACACTGAATGGTGTTCCTTGGCCAAAGGTTTGAGTTCAGTTAACAAACCATTCCTGGGGATTACTATAAGAGGGTGAAAATGTGCTATGGATAAATTAATATCATACTAAAAGAAGAGTTTGCTTTCTTATTTGAAAATGTCAACTAAGTCTAAAAGTCATAAAGTTGTGGCGAGCACTGCGTATGGAAGCCATCTCGAGCTATCCGCCATCTTGGAAACCATTAGGCTTAACTTCCTCACTGAGCAAATCGTTTCTCAGAAATCATGTGACCAACCGTTCTCCCCGGAAGTGGTTGGGTTTCTAGGCAACGGGAGAGATCCACCCTCATCAATGATTGGTTAATGCTGTTCTATCTCATTTGCATTTCGGGCAGCCAATTGGTGCCCACCAGCTGTATATAACTCGCCATTTCTCCTCACGTGTGTTTGTCCCATCTCTCACTCCCTCCCCCAAGGAACCTGTTCCACGGTCCCGCAGGCCGGGACATAAAGTAAACAGCAAAGTTTGTAGAACATGCTGCAAAGAAACAGGAGAGTTTTATACATACATATGGATACACATGTGTGCACACATTTCTATACATATATACATATACATATATACACACATAGAAATTTTTTGCAGATAATAAAGACATACACACATGCACTATCTTGAATATATATGAGATTGGCACAGCAATCTCCTCTAGAAATCAATGAAATCAACTAGAAATTCATCATTTAGAACTATGCCAGCGTTAAACTTCAGCTTCAGGCAAGTCAAACTAGAATGGAGTATAGTCTAGTGATTTTAAATATTTATTGTGTTTGATTTAATGAGTACATACAAATGAAAAATGGAGGCATACTTTTCTATCATTGTACCTATTTTGATTACAATTTGAAACAGATTGATTTAAATCTTTAACAAAAACAATTGGTTTTTGGGTTTCTTTTTCAAAATGCCTCTGGGAACTTGTGCTTGTGCCCCTTGCTGTCCCTCTGACCTGCTTCCTCTCCTCCTTTAGGGCTATTTCATGTCTACTTCTTCAGGAAACCTTCCTTGGTAGTTCTCTCCAACACTGCATATTCTCCTTGCCCTGCTTTGTTTTGTTTTGCTTTGTTTTTTCCCCACAGCACATAGCACCAGCTCTATACCTTATTATTTATTATATTTGGAGTCTGCCTTTTCTCATCAGAACAGAAACTCTGTGAGGGTAAACATGCTTACAAGTTTTATTTCCAGCCCCAGATCAAGATGTGCAACTGTCCTGAGGACAGAGTAAATCCTCTCTAAATCTTTGTCAAATAATTGCATTTTTATAAATCCTGAAGGGTGGTAAGATACGGGTAAAATCCTTCAGTGTGAACAATAATTGCAAGGCATGGAAATCACAGTATTTCTAATCCATAGTGACTGAAATGTAGAGCTCTCTAGTGGTCCACATTGGAAACCTAGGTTGGACAGGTAAATTATACAATGTGGTTATTATGGGGTAAACTGTCCACTTCTCTCAGTTTAACTTAAGAAACCCCAATTCCCTGTATTTCAGGATGTGACCTCATCTGGAGATAAGACCTTTCAAGAAGAGAGTAAATGAAAATGAGGCAGTTGGGACGGACCCTACTCCAACCTGACTGGTATCCTTATAAGAGGAGGAAATTTGGACACACACAGAGACATCAGCAATGTGCACACACATAGGCAAGGATATATCAAAGCACAGTGAAATGGTGGCCATTTGTAAGCCATGACAGTGACCTCAGGAAAAACAGAGCTTGCCAACTCCTTGATCTGAGCCTTCAGAACAGTGAGAAAACACGTCTGTTGTTCAAGCCACCAGTCTGGCATGCTGGCATGTTGTTACGGTGCCTCTAGCAAGCTAATACAATCACATGTGCCCTGCTAAATAATTTTGCCTTTATCTCATAAGTCACTGTGAAATTGGGAGCAGGAGTAGAGGAGATAAGACCAGACCTGAGTTTTAGGAAGGTGCATTGTTGTAACATGGAGGAAGAGAACAAAGAAAAAACTTGACCTTAGAGACTAGCTGGGAAACGTCGGCAGTGCTTCAGAGCCACAACAGGAAGAAGGGACAGAAGAGGTGAATATAAAATTGGGAGAAGCATGACAGCCAGGACCGATGAGACTTAGTAATATTGATATCTATGCCAAAAGAGAATTCAGTAAAACCCAAAGATGCAAAAACGTTTAGAAAATAATTCCTAAATAAGTTTCAGTGGTCTCTCTTGTGCATGAGAATATTTCTCGATCTGGAACTGTAAGACCGGGTATAACAGCATTCACGCAGCAAAATATGGGAAGAGAATGCACTGAGGAAAGAGAGCTGTAGCCCCGTCTCCCACTTGCGGATGATGTGCACCTTAACTTACTTGAAAAATCTGAAAAGTTTTACAATAAATTTCTATAACTTTATCAAAAAATGTAATTACTACATTTATTTGATTGTGAAACTCTCATTTTGAGGCACCTTTTAACTTTTTCCTGGACATGAATATTTCTAGAAATCAACACAATTTAGGAAGTAGTGTTGTGTTCTGACACTAGAACGGTTCTAAAATAGAGACATTCTCTCTGAGCAATCTCTATTTCTGACAGGAAAGTTACTCAAAATTGTCTTAACACAAAGGCAGGATAAACTTATTAAAGAGACACAATTGGTTTTCCCATAGGCTTAATATTATAAGATTTTAAAAAATAACACTCTTGTGAAAGTAGCACTGATTCTTTTCCATCCCTAAAGGAAAACTACTCAGTATCTTAAAACAATGAATAAAAAATAAAATAATATCCTGGTGATTTAAGAGGAATGTATGGGCTAAATGTAGAAATCTGGGAGCAGTTTTTGATAAGGATTTTTGACCAGAGTTCTTCAATGCTAGAGCAGTCTCAATCTAACATTCTTATATTTCTTTTTACTTATTTTATTGAAACATTTAAAAAATGTATTATTATTATTTTTTAGCATTCAATCATGTGTATGATGACAGCATACCAAATGAACATTCCTATGTTTCTATCACCCCGGGTGTCTGGGTGTGACAACTCACATGCGATGCGCACATATGCCTTCCGGCTTTTTGTGGTGCCCGCTGAGCTCCAGGCCACACACTGGCACCAGTAATCTTCAGGACCAAAGAGTTCTTCCACCTGCTGGCGTGAAATCTCAATGCTTACTTCCCGGACAATGAGACCTGATGAAAGAAAGAAAGCTACAGTCAAAAGACTTTTACTAGAGAAATGTCAAACATCACACCCAAGTTTGATCACACCTAATGATCTTTCTTGATACCACAGATCAACACCCAAGATATTGGCTCTCATCAACTCTGGCTTTCTTTTGGGTCCAATTACTTTACTCTACAACTTTGTGATTTTCTTATTTGCTCTTCAAATCTCCTGGATTTATCTGATGATGAAATTAGAGTGGAGATAACGCCTTTCCCCATGCTGCTTGCTAATATTCAACTTCTACCAAGTTATCACCTCTATATATTCAAACGCGAACCTTGAACTTCACATCTTTGAAGGATTTTACCTTAATTAGAGAGGTTATGGGTAAGACACCTGGGTGCTCTACACAGCTTTACTTTACAATAGCTGTATCTTCCTAGCTTTCACATGACAGAGAGAGAAAAACCTAAAACAATGGTCATTTTCAGTGGTTGTTTAACAGTCAAATTGCTTTAACAGATATGTTTTGATTATAATGCACATAATTTTTCTTGAAAGAAACATTAGCCTTAGTTAACAAATTTTGAATATCCTATCCAAAGAATATATGACCTTATGGTTTCCATGCATAACATGTTGAAAGCCCAAATGTTTCTCCCTAATTGTAATGAAACTAAAATCCTGTAAAAGATAAGCTCACCTCCAGCTAACATGGTCAAATCACTGGAATTTATTTCAGGGTATTAGATACTACTGAATAACCAAAACTGAACCACAAATCTGGGGTCATCATTTTAGAGGCATTTATCTTGAAGCATCAAGGCTGTATCAAAGATTCATTTCTCTCTTCACACTGAGTAAGAAGGATTCTCTGAACAATGCATGTGAGCAACTGCCAGCTCTCCTGGAGAGTGAATGCACTTCCAGGATGGAGTGTCCATTGTGAGAACCAGCAGAATACCCACAGGGCGCAGGGAGTAGGAGGACTGGCTTTGGATCAAATATGGACACAGTAAGAATGATTAAATGTACCGGTATCTATTTGGTATTTATTTTCTATCTGCTATTTATCTATCCTTTCATTCATTGGATATTTATCGAGTTTCAAATATGTAAAAGATGCTGTTCTTGGCACTTGTGACACTTTGATGAGTAAGACAGACATAGGCCTCAGTGAACTTACACTATTGTGAAGAGGGCACATGTTAACAATGGGTTACACAACTGATTATTTAGGTACCATTGTGTTCAGTGCTGCAAAGGAGATGTGTCGGGATGAGAGTAAATAACAGGGAGCCTATTTTAGCATGAAGGATCCAGTATGAGTTAGCTTGGTTAATTATACTGATATGATGAAAAAACAAGACATATGCTAAGAAGGGAGAAAGAATGAAGAGATCAAGAACCCAGAAAAAGATCTATCTATCATCTATATCTATCATCTATATCTATCTATATCTATCTACTTATCTATCATCTATCATCTATCTATCTATCTATCATCTATTATCTATCTATCTATCTATCTATCTATCTATCTATCTATCTATCTATCTATCTATCTATCTATCTATCTATCTATCTATCTATCTATCTATCTATCTATCTATCTATCTATCTATCTATCTATCTATCTATCTATCTATCTATCTATCTATCTATCTATCTATCTATCTATCTATCTATCTATCTATCTATCTATCTATCTATATCTGAAAGATATCTATCATCTATGTATCTATATAAAGAAAGAGAGAGAAAGAAAAGAAAGGTGTGTGCATGCATGTGTGTGTGTATGTCTTTAATTATACTTCAGAGGTTTACAAGCTCCTAAAATGTATGATTTCTTAAAATGTTTGAGTATAGGTGACAGAAAAGAGTTTATCTCTTGGAAACCCTTAAAAGGGGTGTTACAGAACTTTCCCTAACACTTAGGAAATACTCAGATGGGTAAGAGCACTCAGGGATATTAACAATCACCCAATAAAAGTCCAGTAGGTGCAGTCTCACTAGAGGAATAAACGGTATTTCCTATCAAGGGGCTTGAGTCAAAAAACTAGACCCTTATGTCTACTAAAGGCTTCCTGAACTAAGGTGAAGGCCAGAAAAAGTGACTTTAATAATCCCAAGATGGATGGGAAAAATCCCAACAGAGCAACTTTATTATCAAAAAGTTCATTAAGGAGTCAGCCCTGTAGTTCAGTGGTTGAGCATTGTGTATGGAATTCTGGATCTCACGTGGTGACCACAGTTACAATTCCAGCCCCAGCAGCTTAAAAACACATAGGGCTGATGTGCAAATGCTCCAAATCCTGACAGGATGGAGAAATGGAGGAAGGGAGCTTGTGGTATGACCATGTCCTGTGGGGAGGCTTTCTCTTCCTCTTCTACTTCTTCCTCCCTGTCTAGACAGTCCACAAACTCTCTGGCAATAAAGAAAAAGTCCACGAGGTATATAAATGTTTTAACCCTTAGTAATACTTTCATGTTTATACAGTAACCCATTAAAAATTATTTTATGGAACTTACATATATCAATCCCTAACCCCTCTATAAGAAGAAATATATTAGTTTAGCCAACATCCAACTAGTATAACCTCCTCAGCGAAAATCACTAACATTAACAACAGTACTTTTCTCCCTCTTCCTTGGTCCCTGCTAGCCCTCTCACTTTCCTAACTTACTGTAATTTCCCTCATTATTCTGATATCCAGAAATCTGGGAAGATGGAGTATAGCCTCCTTCTTCAACCCCCATCGTCTCCGTTTTCTCCTTTTGCCCACTCTCTGGTGTCTAACACTTTTGCCTGTTTTATTTGTTTATACATTCCCTCTTCATGCAGAAATTCAGTTACTGGAAACAAAACTCTTCCTTTAAGGTTGTTACAGTGAATTTATAGTTACCAAAGGACTGATAAATTTGCAGCAAGTATTTCCTTAGAAGTATAATGGCTCTTTCTCAAATGCAGAGCAGCAACAAATGGGCTCAGGATATTAAAACCACATACAAATATTTTGTGTCCCAAGATGATAACTTCAGGTTTCATTCCACCCCTTTTACTTAAAGCAATTACAGGAAACCTAATTAAATGCTAGAGTAACTTCAGTAGGTCCACTGTATCCTTCAGCCCAAATAAACTCATAGATGTTTCTGACCACAAATCTGAAGCCTTTTAAGAAGCCACAGACCAACCCTCCTGCTACAGGATTATTCATGGTATGAATGTCCCAAATTGTGTGGCCCAGGCTCCCTGGGGACCCTGGAGTCAAGCACACACCAATTCTTGTCCTCAGCTTCACAGACGTCCCATTCAGGAGGAGGTGGGTAATTACAGTTGTGGGCAGCTGTCCTGTTACGTGGCCCAAAGTTTACATTCCAACTTTTGGTCAATACCACAAGAACAAGACAGACATGAAGCAGGAAGTATCTGACACAGTTCCGAATCAGTTGCATTATTCAGACTCTGAACTACTTGGTTACACACCAGCTTTTCATTAACACAAGTCAGTCCATTATCTGTGACATTTTGCTCATCAAACCAGAATCTAGTAGTTAAGGTAAAAGTAGGTAATAGCTTTTCTCTTTGAAAATAAAATTTCAAATCTGCTTTAAGTCTTGAGTTGGGAAAAGGAGGCTACCCTGAAATGCCATCAGCACCACTTCCAAGGAGGGTTGCTTTGAAGATCATCTGGGAACTTGGAATCAGCTTCAGGTTATTTAAGGGTGGGGGTAACACTTCGGTCTACAGGATTTACTCCAATAGCAATGTGTAGTTTCCATCACATCTGATCACATCAAAGATTTCCCATCACTGTGTTTCCTTTAAAAGTGGCATCTCAAGGATGCCTGTTGTTTGAAGTTTGCAGTGATTTGCTTTTATAATAGGATTCTTTGTGGCTTGGGAACCAGAGTGCAGGAAAGTAATTAGCATATTTTACCAATAAGTCTTATAGTGAATATGAGCATGTACTGGTAAACAGGGAGCTTTGGATGAATCTGGAAATCCAGATTCAAATGCAACCCTCTGATTGGAGCTTTGTGAGGTCAGACATGAATATGCCAATAAAACCTGGTGGATGACATTTGATATGTATTTTTTAAAAGTTTTGTTCTTTCCTTCTTTCTTCCACGAGTAACAGAAAGAAAGAGAGAGAGACAGACAGAAACGGAACTCTCATACAGTGTCTTCTTGCTGCAATCCACGTCCAGCTTTAGTCAGCCCCAGATAAGGGGCACATGCGTGCCTGGTACATTTAGGGAAGTCCTTGGACATGAACTCAGAACCTTCCCTCGTGAGTTGGCTTTTCAGAGAGGTGCATTACCACTGCACCTCCAGCCAACCCCTATTCTTTGTCTTTAGCATAAGTTTCATTTTATAACAGTGGTTAGGCCCCACAAACAGTGGTTTTCTAAGCTATTATTATTATCATCATCATTATTTAGAGAGACTTCTGCTACAAGGCACATGTGCTTGCCAGAGATACAGAAAGACACAGAGATATAAAAAGTGAGAAATCACTCCTGAGGGGGTATGACCACACTGCAATCCCTTCTCCTCCATTTTCACCCAGGGTCTTGCACAGGTGCCAGCATGAGTTTCAGGCCACCAGGTCTGGGACTTGAACCATCTGCCATGTGGGAGTATAGTGATGTAACCATTACTCCATCTGCTGGTCCCTTCTAAGCTATTAGTATAAGGTGATCAATAATAATATGATGAATTCTATTCAGTAATTATTTAAAAACAATACCTAAATGTAATCTGTAGTTCTGTCAAACAAATACTCATTAAATGTACACTAACATCAGATATATTAAGCTTCAAAAATGTAAAGTAGATCAAACATTACTCAGACTTAAACGGCTCATTTATTATATGAAAATCTTGTTTATTAGATGATCCTCAAAAATCACCCAGAATCTTTAAACATTTTTAAAAAATGTTTAAATACGCCTCAATACGCCCCTTCTGATATCTCAGGTATGGTTCACCAAAAAGCATCCTAACTCAACCTTAGGT